ATCCCTATTACCTACTAGTAAATTTAAGTATACAGGGTCGGTCATAAAGTTGTGGCACATCAAACTTTATTTTTTTAAATGAAACCCTAAAAAACCTTAAAATAACCGACATCGCTCGATTATGAACGAGCGATGCAAGTGACGAGTACCAAGCAACGAACGCAAGCGATCCTAGAATGAAATAAATTGAAATCCGATTTTATTGTGACATACTCGATAAAAAGCCGAGCGAATTTTCTACATACATTGCAGGTAGCAAATTTATATGACGCCGTATATCTATATATTTATCCGTTGCGTATCTGAGGGACAAAATTTTACGACCTACATATTGTCGATGTCGCTTTGAAATAAACAAGCGATCAAGCGAATCGCTCGCCGCTTGCTACTTGCCATTCATCACGAACGAATACCGTAAGAATATGTGCCCTACTCACGCAACTTACTGCTTGGCGCTTGGCGTTAACGAGTACTTACTTACAACAATTAAGCGACGGGTAAAAAACCGTATTTTTAAATACGAGTGTTATTTCGCTCTAGTGATCACTCGGTTAATGCAATCGCTTGAAACTCGAGTACTCGATTATTGAAATTAATCGGTTTTTCCCATCACTAGTTATTACGCTGTTTAAACGCGAGTATATTTTTGCGCATAGGAAATTTTACTCGTTTGCTCATCGTCATAAAAAACAATTTTCGTACCACGAATTAGGGACAAGATTTTTATCTGTATACATATAGTATACCTAATCTGTGCTAATACCTTTTGTTTGGGTAGAAAATGTTTAAATACAATACAACATAATATTACTTTTAAGTAATTAAACACTACGAACAAGAAATGGCTGATTTTCTCAATCATACACTGTAAAGTAAATACTTTTACGTTAATCCAAACAGTACGGCGCATTAGGGACTTCCTTAACCATCTCCTCAACCCATCATACTTTCAAAACAACTTCAAAAGCAAATATATCGGTGTCTCGCTCTTAAAAATCCACCCTTAAACTAAACACACCCCCGAAAAAAGCCCCGAGCGGGGCCAAAAAATACCAACTATCCAGGGTGCACGCATTAAAAAATCAACCAATGCAGGTCCGCGGCTTGTCAATATGGCGCGGGGGTAAGTGGGCGGAGCGGCGGGAAGGCGGGGCGTGGTAGGGCGACCGAGCGAATCATATCGACCCTTTTGCCGACCCTTGTAGAAAGCCCTTTAGTGCTGAGTTTGGCGTTTCAGTAAAGCGTATACATACGAACGGATATGAAGCGAAGAAAGTGTCTAGACTTCGTCAAATTCAAGATATCGAGATTGTTTAACTACAAAGAATACCACGAAGTTTTTAAGGGATTTTAATGCGGGGGGAATAAAAAATAGTCCGTTATATTTTCTTTTAGTATACACTTAATAAGCAAGCCTTTATAAAGGACATTCAGTTTATAATATGCAATTGCCATACCATTTTTATAAATTAAAAAAAAACCTTGTAGATTGTATGGGAGGCAGAAATTTAATCACCGCGACCTTATAGATGTCCCTCTTTCTTGAGTTACATATCAGGGCTTTGACAAAAGCCAGTATTTGAGACGGTTTTACAGAGGTTACTACTCTCCTACTAAGTTATCTCCGATTCCGATATCAGTGGTACTAAGTTTATGCACGATATTTATGTAGATTGTTGTGTTAAAAACACTGATTTATAATCAAGGAGCCTTGGAAAAATAAATTTAATCGTCTAATGTTTTTCGTGTCTTGTCCTGGCCGGTTAAAAGATGCCCAAATCGCATTTTTAATCATATCTCAATTTTTTTCAAATTAAACAAGGGTGGGTCATTAGCATATTTGGAAAAATATTTTTTACCAATGATTTTTGGTACTGCACACTTGGTATTTCGAGTCAAATTGTCGTTATAACCTAACCACCGCTTGTTACAATTGCAAATAAACGAAATTTTAAAGAAAGAAATGGCTGATTGAATATAATATATATTGAAAAATAAAAGTTTTCGTCAGATATTCTAATAATTTTTCTTTAAAGTTTTATGTGCCTTAAATTACTAGAAATACTATTTATTTAAATATTTTCAATGTGGAAAATGCCATTAGTAAAAATCTATTAAAAAAGACTTCCGAGTCTTCCTGCAAGACCAAGACCAAGGGAGTCTTGGTCTTGCATTTGCTCATCACTACAGATGGGACAGTGTATTCAAAGAAGTTCACAACAAGTGGGAGAAAAAATTACTATTGAATTATGCAACCAAGTTCAATATTAAAAAAAATATATTTGAAATATCGGATGTGTGCGCAATATGCGAAACACGCTCGATAAGCAAAATAAAAGTTGAGTCTGTAGGTACAAAGAGCCAGGGGAGATTTCGACAAACGACATTAAAAAAATAAATTTTCCGGTAAACTAAAATGACAGATAAAAACTGTCACGTATTATCTCGCTCTTAGATCTCGCTGAACGAACTTTACTTAATAGAATAACGACAAATGTCAAAAAAAAAGAACTTTACTTACCTCTCAGCAATAGTGATAGCAAGATATTATTACTTAAAAATCCACCAAAAAAAATATTGGGTATACTTTCAATTGCTAAACTAAATCAAGAATTTTTTTAAATATTTTTACTATCAACTTGCACTCCTACTTTCTTAATTAAAAATAATATAATAAACTTATTTAAAACAGAGCTTTATCAGTTTCTTATTTTTAACATGTTTTTTATTATAAAAAATATGACTGTATTTTATGATTTTGCAACAAATTATATATTTTGTTTTTTTTTATTATATTTTACAACAATAAAAATAATGTTAAGCTGTTATACTAAGGCCTGGCAAAGGTTAGTCTTGGGTCGAGATTTCCGTATGTAAGAAGAGTACAATGCGTTTATAATGTACTGAACAAAGAGAGGACAGTAAACACGTTGTGAAACGTATGAAATAAACCGAGAACCTGCAGTGGGATTCTGTAAGCTTCGTAGCAAGAAATTTCTTGCCTAGCCTATGTTACTTGTATGCGATTGCTGAGTCACTAGACAGGAAATTTGTTTACAGAATCGCAGGGCTGTGCACATCGCTAAGAGATGTGGAAGGGGATATAGCAGATTTGTCGCAGTTGACCGGTCGACCCAATCAATACCTCTGTCAGTACTTAAAGTTCTAGGGAGAGGTGTACGTCATGCGTTCAGCTTCACGATTTAATTACGTCTCGTGATACTTAATTTGTTTATTTATTAACGAGTCGTTTTAATTTTCCCTATAGCTTGAATTTTTTTAAGTGCAAGCTAGCAACACTTGCATTTTTGGTAAAAATAAGTGGAATTGACTGGGTGTTCGATAGTGGTCGCGCTATTAGAACTCTGAATTCAAAAATCGATATCTCGAAATCTATTAGAAATAATAGATTGTAGTTTTTTCAAGAACTTTATTAATATTTCTGCTGTATTTTCTTTGTAGACAGTATCTGAAAATCTTTATCAATAAAAAAATTACACGATTGCTGGAAATTGCTATGCTTTAAAAGTAAATGGATGGATTGCTTACAATTTTTAAATGGAAAAAAACAACCTTATCGAATTTTCCTTATGTAAACATATTGTAAAATATCCTATCTTGAAAATAAAAAAAAGTTTCAATATCTAAAGTGGTTCTTGAGTTATGGCTTGTTATGTGTTAAAAAGTTGAGTTTTTAAATTATCGCGATTACTTTCTCGTTATAAAAAAATGACACCCTAACGATATCCTTATAATTCCATTTCAGATGCTCAGAAACATGTCTAATGATTTTATCTAGTTATCTCTTGAAAAAATAGTCTTTTAAAAATAAGCGATTTGCGATCGTGATTTTACTTTACTTGATAGGGAAAGGCGTATCGGCAACGCCGCAACAGCACATCGTCGCGCGTCGCGTCAGTCGATCGTATTTCTCTCATTCCGACCTAATAAGATCCCTATGCGATTTACTTCCACACATGTAAATGCCGACCCAAAAGTAACAGTTGCCAGCACGGTATATAAATAACAGTAATATAGTAAGTAAACAACTGTTATTTAAAAATATCAGTTTTTCCTAGCACTACATGGACATGGACAATGTAGTGGTAGAAGTAAGTCACAGATGGTGGTATATATTAGTTTCTTTCATAAAGTTACAAAACCACATATTTTTTCGTCTTTCGGCTAAATTTTCACGGATTTCGCCACGTATCTGGAAGTTACTTCTTTCTGCCTTATATTGAGGACATTCACAATTGACATGGTTACTGTCAACACAATACCACATTATATGCACATCGGAGGAATTTCATTTTTAACCAGAATTGCATGTGTCACTGAAGTATGCGCTCACTGAAGTATGCACGAAGATGATGCACTCTGGATTCATACGCTCGTCCTAGTGTAAAACGTAAGGATGCTGTTGACAGATTCTTACTTTAAATCAAACGATATTTTATTGCGCGAAGCTTTGAAGATTTACTTGTCCACTCATCCTGTCATTCCCTTTCTGTTCCTTAATGTAGTAGTTACTAGAACTAAGAAAGCCGATTTATTACCGATATCGACCGCACACTGTACAACATATCATTTTACAATCTTTTACTGGAATTCGCAGTACCTATCATTTAAGTATTAATTCAAGTTCTGATAACTGAAGATCATAAGCGTGATCATAAGTAAGAAACACGCTAAGTGCCAAAATAACAAAACAGGGTTATGACAGTATCTACAATTTAACCTCCGTGCATAGGTACATAGCAGATGCTCTTATTTCATTTCTCTACTGTAACGACAATTTTAGGTTTAGCGCTTAGCCCAATTGATATATTATCCGCAATGGCGGTTAGTATATATTTAAGATAAAAACACAATGTTCCTCTTTTTTGGAACTTAGCCTGTTTCTTACTCTGGTCTTAAATTATATTCCTTTTACAATCGGCTAGAGTATTGGCAAAATTATGAATTATTACTTTCATCAACAATAAATAATATAACAGTTTAGAAACATATTTTTATTAAAAATACAAATTATTTTATAGTTAAAGTACCTTAACAAAATAACTTAATGTTTCTTAAGAAAATACGACCTTCCATTCGGATTCATTATAGGCAATTTATATGGAGATTCCAGACACCATTCATACCAAACTTTTTCTACATTTTCATCTCTCCAGAAACTAACCGTAATAATTTCTCCGGCGTGAATTTGAACTGGAGCAGCTAATGGAAATACTATTGGAAACCATGAGACCTAACAATTCAATAAAATAATATAATCTAACTAAGATAAGATTCTTGGTGCATTTCAACCGATGTTTTAAAATTCCGACAGCAGCGCTCGGTACGGCAGAAATCACAACTGTCCGCCTAGTTTATTTCACACCATCCCAGTTACCGTTCATTTTGATCACATTGAAACGATATTGAAATCGTAACTATGTCATAATGTTTAAGTATTTTGGATTTTACTAGCGCAGTTATTGAAATTATACTTCTCAGATACGAAGTTTGTGTAATGTAGCGCTGTTTCGAGTAATAAAAATTATGTGAAAAAGAACCCGAACTGGGCGTCGTGTTGTGTTGTGACCATTTCAAATGATAATAAAATTGGAAAAAAAATGTTAACACGAACAGGAGTGCGTAATTGCATATTTTTTGTGCAATAACGTTCAATACAACTCTTCCGGAACAACATTTTATAGATTCCCAGCTTTCTCACACTGATCTCGCCAAAAGCAAAAATGGATTCAGGCAATTCATAAAACAAGTAAGTAAACAAAGTGCTCATTGCATAATAAAAAAAATAAATAGGCACAACATACTATAAGGATAAAATATAGTTTGGTTAATATTAATTGGATATACCTTTTTTTATTACAGTTGGGGGTTGGAACCTTTGGTGTTTAGAACACACCCATAAAAAAATTAAGTACTAGTTGATTAAAAAGAAGAATACTATTAATATTGATTAAATTATATTTTTTCCTCAAAGTATATGTCGATTTAATTTTTTGGCTATGTAAGGGCACTTTGTTTACTCACTATGATCGAACTACCTAAATACTTTTGACCAAATTAGTGTGATAAAGCTGAGAAGTTGTAAAATCTTGTTCCGGGAGAGTTGTATTGAGTCTTATTGCACCCAACAACCATGCAATTATGTTATTGTTTTCGTTTTGACATTTTGTGAGCAATTTTATTGTCATTTGAAATTGTCACAACATAGCGCCTCGCCCAGTTTGGGTTCTTTTTCACTTAATTTTAAAATATATTAAAATGCCACGATTTTAATATTATTTCAATGCGATCAATATGAACGGTAACCAGGACTGCGTGAAATACAGAGCCGGAAAGTTATGATTTCCGCCGTACCGAGCGCTGCTGTCAAAATTTTAAAAATCAACTGAAATGCACAAATAGCAAAATAAATTTCAAACTGTCATGGTTTGTAATAAATCTAAATTTAAAATAAAGTATATATTTCTTAGAGATGCGGTGATATCTGTCTTACATCTTAAATGGAATTGGGCAGGACATGTGGCTAGGATGACAGATGGACGGTGGACAAAGAGACTTGTGGAATGGAGACCGAGACACGAGGTCTATAGAAGCAGAGGACGACCTCCTAGTCGATGGACAGATGACATTAAGAGGGTGGCTGGAAACTGGATTCAAGTGGCACAAAATAGAAGGAAATGGCTAGAGTTAAGGGAGGCTTTTGTTCAGCAGTGGACGGTATAAGCTAAATGATGATGATGATGATGATGATGATGATGATATATTTCTTATTTTATTTTTGAATATACCACACATAAAATAGCAGAAAATAAATCATTCAAATAAACATTATTAATTTAATATACAAAAAAGTCTTACCATATCAGGAGTATGCGTTTTAGGATTTGTAGATAATGTAACATCATCAAATAAATTTGTTTCAAAAAATCCTACAAATGCGGTCAATACACAAGACTTCGCAACTGGTGGAAATTTCAGTGATTTATATCTTGTGTTGTCTGGACCATCTTCTGAATAATTCGGATGATCAAAAGTAAATAACGGTTGTGCTGGTGCTAATTGTTGATAATTTGCTAAGTGGACCTAAAATATAATAAATATGTTTTACAGATTAGGCCTAATAAAAATCGAGAAATGTTCAAAGGTAATAAAATGATTTGGCTATAAAAGTTGATTTTTTAGTCCCCCAAAATTGTGTTTAGGTTAAAATTGTACCCTCCAATATAAAATAATATTCTCATATTTAGTAACTGTTCCATAATTAATTATTTAGTCTGTAGGAATTTGCAGTCACTAGAACACTTTTTATATCCCCACATTTTTTGCCCAAAAATTTGCAAAATTCATAAAAACCCAACTTATAATGTATGTATATCAGAGTGTGGGATAACGAAGCGGCAGATGAAATGGCTCAACAAGACTCATCAATATTCATTCATAGTCCCTTCAGCAACCTTCTGTTTGCCTTGCAACAGCAGTAACGAGAATAGATACAAAACGGTGGATGGCCAACAAATCTCTAGAATGATGAAAAAATGGGCAGAGACAATCGGAAAAAGTCCATAGTAGAACATTTGCCAAAATGCCCGGCACATCTCATAAGAAAAGACAGAAAGACAGTCAAATCTGTAGTGGATCTACTAACACGGAATTGTAACCTACGAAAGCGTAGAACTGCCATCGCAACACTGAAAAATATTTTTAGCAAAATTTACACTTTTTCTGTAAATTTCTGCGTTAGTAGAAACAGTGGTGCGTTATTTTACGAGTAGTTCCCATCGAACTCCGTTCGACGCCAGTTTATTCCTTAGACTAAAAGTTTATTCACAAAAGTCATCATTAGTAAATACAGAATTAGGGAACCAATGCGACAATTAATTGAAGAATTGAAGACATGCGGTCTATATGACAAGACTAAGCAATATCCCAGTATATTCAAAGGTATATTTTGTTCTGAAATCACACTCTCTTCAAAAATACTTGAAGAATTATTCCTCATCGTCTATACTGAACCTGGGACTAAAAAAAAATTCCGGTGATGTCTTATTTTAAAGATTATGTATTGGATTTGGAATGTATGTGATATAACAGTATGCATTTTTTTTATATGTTTTCTAATATGCTTTTAGGCAACCCGGAAAGTATTGTCACCCCTTCCGATTTATTAGTGTTTGAAACAGGATCTGATTGTCCTCCACCTCTGGGATTTTCCTTAATGCCACAGATCATGTTTTTGCATGAAGATTAATCACAATTTTCTATGGCAAATGCTCCCTGCAATTAAAACTGCCAGTCATTCATAAGAGTTATGAAGATTTTAAAACAGATATGGATTTTGCTATAGGTAATGCTAAAACATTTGGATTCGCCTAATGTTTTAGCGCTACCCATTTTTTGGTTTATTTTTATTCATATATTATTCTTATGATAATAATTGATTTTATTGACGTTTTTATATTAAGAGTACTCTGTTTTGTTATACAGTTACACTTTGGCTATCTATATTAGATTCTAACATTTATGTAGATTTATAATGTTAAATAAAATATTTTTATGCATACTTATACAGCTATTATTTTAGAGTACTTAAAGAATTTCGATCAACTTCGAAATAAATTAAGTCGTCCCAAATGCCTTCGCAAATGACGTAAACTTAGGACATAACAAAGGACATAACCATCCTCTAATGTCAAAATTTCTTTGTGACTTAACCCGATTTGAAAGTAGGTTTTAATGTATTCCTCCATAATCTCTGATAAATATCTGTACTTCGTCGGCACAATGGCTTAACCAGCGGAGAACAAGGCTCACTTGTAACTTGTAACTACTGGGTAACGAACAGGTCGATGCCGAGACGTCGCGCGTCGTCCTGCTGGGTAGTAAATTTCGCATGCAATTTACAGAAGAAGTGTAAATTTACAAAAAAAATCAGTAAATTTACAGAAAATGTGTAAATTTACAGGAAAAGCGTAAATTTACAAAAAAATCAGTTAAGTTTACAGAAAATGTGTAAATTTACAGGAAAAGTATAAATTTAACATTTACAGAAAATCTGTAAATTTACAGAAAAAGTGTAAATTTTGCTAAAATTATTTTTCAATGTTGCGATAGCAGCTCTACGCTTTCGTTGTAAGCTGAATAGGCATCTAAAACTTATGGGACTGACAGAAGAGGCCATGTGGATATTTTATCAATCTGAAAAAGAAACGACAGAACACATTTTATGTCGGTGCAACAGCGAGACAAATGTGCGGTTCTTTGTAGTAGGCAAAGATAGACCATTGACAAATAGTTATATGGAGGGTCCAGTCTCCAGGTTGCTAGAAAAGGATAGGACTGGAAATGTAACCTAAGGATCAGAAGAGAACCACAACAGGTCTGAAAATCGCAATGGAGCAAACCAATAGCCACCTTGAAGAATCTAATCTAATTTAGTATACCGATTTGGTCATTGTAGAAGTGTGGTCTGGATTTTAACGTGTAAGACAGTGATGTAGGCAGCTTAATGGAAAAGCAAATGTATTAAAAAGAGATAAAAGTTGGGTTGATATTGTTGATGTTTACTAGCACGGAATTGTAAGCTGAATAGGCATCTAAAACGTATGGGACTGACAGAAGAAGCAATGTGGAAATTTTATCAATCTGAAGAAGAAACGACAGAACACATTTTATGTCGGTGCGACAGCGAGACAAATGTGCGGTTCTTTGTAGTAGGCAAAGATAGACCATTGACAAATAGTTATATTGAGGGTTCAGTCTCCAGGTTGCTAGAAAAGGATAGGACTGGAAATGTAACCTAAGGATCAGAAGAGGACCACAACAGGTCTGAAAAGGTCGCAATGGAACAAGCCAATAGCCACCTTGAAGAATCTAATCAAATTTAGTATACCGATTTGATCATTGTAGAAGGGTGGTCTGGATTTTAACGTGTAAGACAGTGATGTAGGCAGCTTAATGGAAAAGCAAATGTATTAAAAAGAGATAAAAGTTGGGTTGATATTGTTGATGTTTACTAGCACGGAATTGTAAGCTGAATAGGCATCTAAAACTTATGGGACTGACAGAAGAAGCAATGTGGAAATTTTATCAATCTGAAGAAGAAACGACAGAACACATTTTATGTCGGTGCGACAGCGAGACAAATGTGCGGTTCTTTGTAGTAGGCAAAGATAGACCATTGACAAATAGTTATATTGAGGGTTCAGTCTCCAGGTTGCTAGAAAAGGATAGGACTGGAAATGTAACCTAAGGATCAGAAGAGGACCACAACAGGTCTGAAAAGGTCGCAATGGAACAAGCCAATAGCCACCTTGAAGAATCTAATCAAATTTAGTATACCGATTTGATCATTGTAGAAGAGGGTGGTCTGGATTTTAACGTGTAAGACAGTGATGTAGGCAGCTTAATGGAAAAGCAAATGTATTAAAAAGAGATAAAAGTTGGGTTGATATTGTTGATGTTTACTAGCACGGAATTGTAAGCTGAATAGGCATCTAAAACGTTATGGGACTGACAGAAGAAGCAATGTGGAAATTTTATCAATCTGAAGAAGAAACGACAGAACACATTTTATGTCGGTGCGACAGCGAGACAAATGTGCGGTTCTTTGTAGTAGGCAAAGATAGACCATTGACAAATAGTTATATTGAGGGTTCAGTCTCCAGGTTGCTAGAAAAGGATAGGACTGGAAATGTAACCTAAGGATCAGAAGAGGACCACAACAGGTCTGAAAAGGTCGCAATGGAACAAGCCAATAGCCACCTTGAAGAATCTAATCAAATTTAGTATACCGATTTGATCATTGTAGAAGGGTGGTCTGGATTTTTAACGTGTAAGACAGTGATGTAGGCAGCTTAATGGAAAAGCAAATGTATTAAAAGAGATAAAAGTTTGGTTGATATTGTTGATGTTTACTAGCACGGAATTGTAAGCTGAATAGGCATCTAAAACGTATGGGACTGACAGAAGAAGCAATGTGGAAATTTTATCAATCTGAAGAAGAAACGACAGAACACATTTTATGTCGGTGCGACAGCGAGACAAATGTGCGGTTCTTTGTAGTAGGCAAAGATAGACCATTGACAAATAGTTATATTGAGGGTTCAGTCTCCAGGTTGCTAGAAAAGGATAGGACTGGAAATGTAACCTAAGGATCAGAAGAGAACCACAACAGGTCTGAAAATCGCAATGGAGCAAACCAATAGCCACCTTGAAGAATCTAATCAAATTTAGTATACCGATTTGATCATTGTAGAAGGGTGGTCTGGATTTTAACGTGTAAGACAGTGATGTAGGCAGCTTAATGGAAAAGCAAATGTATTAAAAAGAGATAAAAGTTGGGTTGATATTGTTGATGTTTACTAGCACGGAATTGTAAGTTGAATAGGCATCTAAAACTTATGGGACTGACAGAAGAAGCAATGTGGAAATTTTATCAATCTGAAGAAGAAACGACAGAACACATTTTATGTCGGTGCGACAGCGAGACAAATGTGCGGTTCTTTATAGTAGGCAAAGATAGACCATTGACAAATAGTTATATGGAGTGTTCAGTCTTCAGGTTGCTAGAAAAGGATAGGACTGGAAATGTAACCTAAGGATCAGAAGAGGACCACAACAGGTCTGAAAAGGTCACATGGAACAAGCCAATAGCCACCTTGAAGAATCTAATCTAATTTAGTATACCGATTTGGTCATTGTAGAAGGGTGGTCTGGATTTTAACGTGTAAGACAGTGATGTAGGCAGCTTAATGGAAAAGCAAATGTATTAAAAAATAAAAGTTGGGTTGATATTGTTTAGTATTGTTGATATTGTTTTCTTCTATGTGGTATTGCCGGATTTTGCATCAAAAGTTCAAACCGCACAAGTAGGCGTTTATGGAAAATGTTGCATCTAGGGTTGGAACCTTATTTTTCACAATTAGTTACTCATTTTACTATAGATGTAATAGATTATATTTAGCTTAGATATATTATCTTCATTTCAGTATATATATGAAAGTTTTTAAAATTGTTTATTTTTTTTCTACGCAAATTTTCCTACAAACGTAAAAACCGGCAACACTGTATGCCGCTCTTGATTTTGTCTCTCTGTCTGTCAACCGGTCATTTATATTATTCTCTCTCTTACACGTTAAAATCCAGACCACACTTCTAAAATGGCCAAATCGGTATATCTGAAATACGCTGCCATATCATACAGGGTCTTATCAGTAATTTACGTTATTGACAAAATTAAAGTAATATATTGTTAAAAAGTTTAAGCCCAGTTGATTATAAAACTTATAGATCATTCAATTTTAAATAAACTAGGTACATATTCTAAAAAAATTTGCAATGTCCTTCCCCGATAAATGCAGAAACTCCCTAGCACCAGCTAGTTTTGTGGTAGGAAAACTATAATTTCAGATTAGAAAAATTGGACGTTAGTCACAAATTAATCCCTTTAATGACAAAATATTCCTATCTTAAAATATAAATATGATCACTTGAATATGTTTCCCTAAGCAGATTTCATTTCATTTTTCAATATAAGTTTTACTTCAAGATATTCTGTAGAGTACTCTAATAATGAGTATCATTATTTATAATTTTTACATAGTACTTACTACATATGGTGTTTCTAAACACTGCTTTAATGTTTTATCCGGCAGACGACCATTTCTAATTTCATTATATATTTTTAAAGATTGCAATGGTGCTAAGAACGATGTATACTGACATGGTATAGAAATACCAGTTTTCGGTGTAAGAAAACGTTGCGCACCATCTAAACATTCTGGTGACAGTTCATTATCACCAAAAGAACCTAAAAATTAATCTATATTTTACATAAATATTGAGATTTCAACTTGATGAGTTTCAAGAGCGGGTTATAAAAAATTGTCTGTAACTATTATTATTCTAACTTTGTTTGTTAAAACTTACCTAATAATTCTGAAACTAAAATATCTGCTGATTCGGGAGCTTGCCAAGTTCGCATGTCCTCTTTTACCAATGTTACTTGTAAGCCCCATTCACTCATCACTCTATGAGCCAGTGTATTTACGGCGTATGGATTTTTTTCAACTGCATATACTTTTACCTGAAGGAAAGAAAATACATTTCTGTAATTACTTAATAGCAAATTATGATTAACATATAAGAGCGATTTGTTATAAACAAATATTTGTTAAATTTAAAAAAGTAGTTGAATCTAACTAAACTATATACTTAAAAAAAAATTACATATAGACTTGATATAGCCCAAATATATTTTAATAATGGTCACTATTTCGAAAGATGATTTATCCAAGAAGTCTATTGGAATTTAGATTTTCCTTTCTTAAAAATATGTTGAACTAGGAATGCAGGAATGTTGAACAATGCAATATCATCATTATTTTACTCACTGAAATCTAGACCAAAGATTTTGGCTGACCAGATCTGTACAGGTAGGTAAATAAAATTATGTTACTTACCTCAATATCGAGAATCCTAGAAACATTTAATACTGCTTGCACCAAAGGACCCCTTCCTGCTCCTACTACCATTACCACTGGCGGTCGTTTTTCTGTCCACAGTTCAAGTGCTTTGTGAACTGCTTTTTGGTAGGTATCATACTTAACACGATCTTTCTCAAATACCTGAATTAAGAAATTGTTTTCTTTAATCAACAATTACATTAAACAAGATTTCCCACGGGGAGTCTCCCCACGAGAGATGGCACATGTTTTTTGAAACACCCTGTATATGATCACTCAAATCATTCTACCTAAAACTCGAGTAAATTAGTCCATACACCAAATTTCAACTTTTAATGTGATCGGTATTTGAAAAATAGAAAATTTGAAAAAACAACTGTAGAGAAAAGCTAAATCGGAAAGAATTGAGAAAAACTCTTTTTTTTCAAATGCTATTACTCTCTAATATTTTTTTATATAAATTTATAGAATTATCAAAGTGTGTTTTGTATTTCGTTTTGGAGTGGTTTAAAAATGTTTTTCACAAAGGCAGTACCAAAATTAAGTCCCTCGCAAGTTCAACTGAAAGTTTAAAAAATACTGTAAACCATGTTAATTCGTTAATAATCCACATTTGGCAATTTTTAGTAAGGATTAAATGCATTTTTACATCTAGGAGATACATAAAATATGTTAAAAGTTATAAATATATATTAGCACTAAGTAAACAAAAAAAAATGGTAGAATATGAGCTTACTTTGGGTGTTTCTTACGATTCTGAACCGTTCTAGAATTGTGATACGCATGCGCAGGTGGAAATAGGCGGCAACTTTTTTTACCTGTGCATGCGTTGTAGAGGTTTAGGACGGTTCAGTATCGGTAGTAAGAATAACCCAAAGTAAATTATGATAAAAAGGTTTATGATCAAATGAACTTTGCGTCATAACAGAAGAATAATTGTCACCGAAAATTACGTTAAAATTGTTATAACTCTCAATGTGAAAGCTCATGTAAACATAGAACTTTCTGATCCTATGGTATCTGCAAAAATAAAGTTAATTTACTAATAAAATCATTATCCACATAACATGCCTTCATTTATTCTTAGATACTAATGGATATAGACTGTCCAGCAAGTGAATGTAGAATATTATGTGCTTTCAACAAAATACATACAAAAAGTGAAAAAAAAATAGTTTTGTATAGATAATAACTATCACTGTATAATATTTCTTTAGCTGAAGAGATGATACATAAAACCGAATTAGTCTTTTTTTCTTTCTGAATGAATATTAGAACATATAATTCAATTAATAATTGGAAATGAACTGTATTTACCTCATAAACATTCATTTCTAAATGCTCTGATAAAGGTTGAAGTGGATTTTGTAAATAATCTTCACATCTGAAAAATGCAATCTTATTAAAAACCATATATATTACTTTTATATTAGAAAAAAATACTACTAATAAATCAACATGAATAACTGATTAAAAATAAATAAATAAATCTTACCCTTGTACAAACTCAGCCATCGTATCACAACAATACAATTTCTTCCCCAAGTAAGTCATATATTTCACATAAAAAGAATAATCACCCTCAACATCCAAATGAATAATATATTGTACATCTAGTGCCATAAACCGTTTAATAATTTCTTGATGTACTTTTGGCAAAACTGGTTTTCCATATTGATTTGTAAGGAAATATGAAGCTTGTATTACTAAAGCTTTCACTGGCTCTCCAACCTGAAAGGAAGGAAATAATTTAGAAATTATTAGAAATTTTTAAAATATTCAGAAATAAGTTCCCAAAAATATGAATTTTATGATGCATCTCCATAGATACAGAAATGTACTACATACTTTGCCTCATTTTTGGTCTAATTTTTACAACTAATTTTTTTTAAAGCTATTAACAGATTCAATAAATTTAACAGAATATTTGATCGCTAGGTAAATATTTGACTAACAAATAAGCTTTTGGTTAAAAATTACAAAATGTTATTTTTTAAGTACACGGCTGAAAATTTGTACACTTGTATAAAATTAAAAAAGAAACAACTTTTTCAAATAAAGTTTTTCGAATTTCTGTCAGCAAACCCATTTTTTAGCCATTTGTCATTTTAAATGTCAAATTTGACAGATATCCAGGGACAACAGGCGAAATTTTCTTAAGTCATTTTTAACATTGATGGTGACTTTATCTGTGACTCTGCATAATTAAGTGTGTTGTGTATCATGACAGATAAATAATGTGCATCTGAAAGTATATTAAATTTTCTTAAACTGTCGAAGCCTACATAATGATATAGTAGTTATTATACAATACTACATATATCTACATACATACCCATCTATCAATTTCATCACAAGGTGGTACATGTTGAACATCTGGAAGTTCTAAAACTACTCCAACTCTTTTATCATAATCACAGTGAATCCGAAAATCATTCCAAAAGTTCCAAGAGTCATATTTGATATCTGTTGTTGACTTATATTGTGATTCGTGGACCATAGGAATCTATTGAAACATATAATTTATTGCTAGCATATATATTTTTTGTAAAAACATCTGTTGTTACCTGCACCCAAACAGCATATGAAAAATTTGAAACGAGTTTGTCATTAATAACTCTTGACAATTGAACATTCTTTGGTTTAGTAAGATGTATTAATATAGCCGGTACACCCAAATGTGAAGCAAAGCCTAGTTCTTGTTCTAATTTTTGTTTGCTAGTTTTACTAACTACAGCGTCTTCATTGTCAACATCAATTGAAGTACTCAACTCCCCTAAATATATTTCAATTAATTAGGGGTGAACTTCAAGGTTCTATTAAAAATTCTCTTCTAATATTATAAGAGTACATTTACCATTTACTTCAGTGTTGTGATAAACATTTTGAAAGATGATACTAATTATACCATCTCTCTACAATTTACCACAATATCAAAATAAATATATTTTAAAATAAAACTAAACGGGATAAAAAAACATACCCACAATCAGCCGATTCCACTCATTTCCAGTCAGAACTCTATCCGATCTGCCTATTATATATGGAACATAAGGCCCTTTTAAATCTTGGATGTAACTTGGATGGGATAATTGTGTAACAATAAAATGAAAACCATATTCAAAGGCAGACTGTATAGCTGTTTTTAGAGATACCGGGCAACTATCATACAAACCACATGAAATACGTTTTCGTTTTTCATTTGACTGTTCCCCTTCCAACATTTTATCTAAAATAAAATTCATTATTTAGATGAATATAAAAAACATTAAAAATACGAAATGCACCTTTGAAAGTATTATGTTAATTTATTCCACAATAATACTTCTAAAAACTAAAATTAAAAATATAGTCGACAGATCTATCAAAAACTTATAGGTTAAAAGAAAGTACGGTTAGGGAAAGGGTCTTCTTCTTTTGTTCTTCTTCTTCTTCAAAAAATGTAACCATTGTCGGCCTTTTGGTCGAAATGATTGCGCCGCTTTCTAGTAGACGCAAGGTCGCCGGTTCGAATCCGGCCCCGGACATGGATGTTAAATGTGTGTGTGAGTCTGTATTTGTCCGATTTTAAACGCTAATTTAAAAATTAAGAATTAAGCTGGCTGAATGTCGTAATAGACAAGTGGCGATAAAGGCCATAAATAGAAAAAAAAAATTTAACCATTGATTTATAATAATAATTTCCATTTACTATGATGAAAAATGGAAACTCATTTATCAGTATATGATATATGATTCTTCATCACTCAATATGCAGAAAGGTTTATTATAAATTTATTTTTGTTATCTATTCAGTGTTAGATATTCCTGTAGTTAATCGTATTTTTCGTGTAGAAACTGCATTTATCGTGTATATTATTTGTTTCATATGATCACAGTTTATACCTTTCTTTTTGGGACCACTGTATAACACATTTGACATTTGTTATGAGCGGTGCGGTGTGTAAAAGGGGCAGGTTGAATTTAAAAATTATTTAAGGGTAGTTGGGGGTTTTCAGGTAAATTATGTCAAAACCCGAAGTCATGTCAAAACAAAAAGAAAATAAATGGACTAATTATGCACTCAGAATTATAGTAAACACAGCATCGCACCCTTTTGAATACGCCAAAGTTCTAATACAGGTTAATATTTTTTTCTTTTCTCATATAAAGTTTTAAATGTAAAGATACCACTGTTATTATGCTCCATAGAATTTAAACATTATTTCCCATGTAATAATTAAGTTTTACTTGTTATTTTTAAAATAATTATGTATATCTTTATTATAAAGAATGACCTGCTAAATTTTAGCAGTGAAGCAGAAAGCTCTCTAAAGGTTTAGAAATAACTATTATTTTAATTTTATATATAACAGTTGTAAATGATATAATTTTAAGTGTTAAACTATGTATTTCATGGAACACAAATTTCTTCTAGATTGGTTATGAGCCCATTTCTCCAAAACCAGCCAAAACATTGTTTGGTAAACCTGCACTCAAGCTTCCAAATATTTTTGAATATGGTAAATTATGCTTTTTCTTTTAAATATATATTACATAAATACATAAATAATTATTATCTAAGTCATTTCGAATTTTTAATTTAGTTTAAATTTAACAATGTTTGCTTTTTACTAGTGAAACACATTAAAACAGTTGATGGATTCTATGGATTATATAATGGTTTAGCCCCTAAAGTATGTGGAAACTTGCTAAGTGCATTGGCTGCACAAAAATGTTCAGAGTATTTAAAGGTACCTGAGACAGATGATTTAGATTTTGAGGAAGAGGAAGAAACTGAAGAGCAAAGGTAGATAAAATTAGTGTGCTGTTAAATTGAAGATTAATTCTTTCCTGTATTATTGTTTTTAGAAAACAGAAATGGATTGCTTTATTAAAATATGATGTAATAACGCACACAGCAGCTATTGTTGTTAGTCAGCCTTTTCATGTTATAACCATAAGAATGATGGCGCAGTTCGTTGGGCGAGAAGCAAAATACACGTAAGAAAGAAATAATATATTTGTCAATTTATTACCTGATCAGTATGGTAATTGTTATTAGCATGGTTATTGGCATATTAGTATGGTTATTGGTGTGCTTCAATTTGTTTAGGGATTCAAATTGTATTGTTGGCATGATTTATATCTTTCACATAATAGGAAATTAAAATATAATCTATTCTCAGTATTAATAATTAAGTTATACTGAAAAATAAAGTTATATGTATATCATTATATTGAAATTCAACTAGTTTACTTCAAACGTTATCTAAATAATAATTTAATATTATTCATTACACAATATGACAAAAGAAATATAAAAAAACGATAAGGCCGAGGACCGCAGTTCTAGATTAGCAGCCAAAGGAGACGTTAACTGTGCATTAACTTAAAATACTTTTTTATTAAAAAGATTTACAATTTAATATTACCTTTTTCTTCTGTCTAGGGGTATATTTTCGTCAGTAAAGGAAATCTACAACCAGAATGGTATTTTGGGATTCTTTAGTGGATTAGTACCAAGACTGTTGGGCGATATACTCGCTTTACTTTTAGCAAGTAGTCTTACATATGCATTAAATCGGTATCTGGTTGAAGAAAAGGAGTTGAAAGTTTATACATCAGCGACTATGAATGTAAGTTTCCTATTTGTTCAAATTTATGTTTTTGTATTAATATTTTATAATTTAAAAATTTTATATTTTTTAATCTCATATATTATAAACGTTTATAATTTAAAATAACTTATAATTTTTATATATTCTTATACCGTATGGTCAAAAAAAAACGGCGTTCAGTTGGCTTTGAATTGACGATCGATGAAATTTCCCATATAGTTTTACATGTAAAATGACAGCGATCTTCATTTAATAGCCATCGCTGACGCCGTTTTTATTCGCTCATACGGTATCTTGTGGAATAAAAACCGTAAATAAATATAATTTAAAGTGGCTCATAATTTTTAAAATGGTAAGGAAGCAGTTAAAAAAAATTTCGAGTTTTTAGTATTACCGCTTATGAACCGACCTAAAACTCTCTACAACGCATCCGCGGATAAAAGAATTGCGAATTGCGCATGCGAATTACAATTCTAGTAAGTAATATCACAGATTAGATATATATATGTAGTTATGTATACAGATATGTATACAGATAAAAATCTTGTCCCTAATTCATGGTACAAAAATTGTTTTTTATGACGGTGAGCAAACAAGTAAAATTTCCTGTGCGCAAAAGTAAACTTGCGTATAATCTGTGGTAATATGAAAATCTTGAAGTATGCTGTATACTTTCTTTATAAACATTCATTAAAGAAGGAAACGACGTCATCATAACCAGGTTGAAACATCTATCCCCAATGTCAGTTATTTTACTTTTCTTAAAACACAATACGTAGAAATTATTGAATATAAAATTACTAAGATATTAAGTACTATAAATAGGATATTTACTACCCAGGAATATCAATAGAAGGTTACTTACTTACTCAAACGCAAAAATAATCAAAACTACAATTCACTATACTTAATAAAACAAAATGTTACTAATAGGTTTAAGTATTGAGAGTCAGAGTTGTTGATATTTTTAATGCACTTGAGTAATAATTCTGCACACCGAAACTAGCATGGAATAGCCAACAACCAAAATTTGACGTCTAATGAATTATTCGATTGTTTTGATTACCTATTTTAAACTGGCCGCCTATCTTAAAAAGTCAAGCCGGGCTCACATGCAATCAAATAGTCGGCCGATCGGCTCCATAAGAATGTATGGTTCTCACTTTTGCATATAAATATTTGGCCGACTAAAAATTGCATGTCAGCGAGTAGGCATATTGTTTCGATTGGCATTACAGGGAATTCAAGGTGTTTTGTTTTTACAATTAATATACAGAGTTGTTCACCACATACGACACGGAGTATTGTAGCTAAACGATTAGATTTTTGCAAATTGTAAGTTTTGGGTTCGTTTAAGGACTATTAGAGCTACAATTTAAAAATATTTTTACAAGATACAGAGTGTTCCAAACAAAAAATATATCAAAGTTGTATTTTTTTAAATGGAACACCCTGTATATTATTACATTTTTAAATTCTACGAGTAAAATTAAGGTAAATTTGATTAAGGTTTACCGCATTTTAATCTTACTGTTTTTGAAATATTTAGGTTTTTGTCAAAATACAGTAATAATTTTAATGCTTCATTTCTCTAGGCGTATTTAAGTTTTTAAAACCAAATATTGTAATGAAGTATTTCTATTTACTAAATTTTGTGTTCTAATAATAAAAATACTACCTTATGCAGAGTGTCTAAAAATTTATTTTAAATAATTACTAGTTATAAACGGCAATAACTTGTTTAATTTCAATGGAACACCCTGTATATTTTATGAGAATCAGATGCACAATTTAATTGTCTATCAAATTGTATTATACCATTTTTTACCTACTTATCTCTTCAAGTTTTCGTAGAAAATGCATTTTCCTATAATTTAAACCTCATTTATCAATATACCCATGGAATATTGACATTTTAGATTATTTTTAATGATATAATAAGATACTAATATTGTCGATATAGTTCGTCTATTTCATTAAAAAAATAAAAAAAAACAAAAAAAAGGTTTTTGTTTAAATATTTGTTAAAGAGCACCAATTAATATGATTCCAGTATTCAAACTACATTAATTGACTGTTTGCGTTGATTAATAATAATTGGTCCAAAAATTATATTCTTAAAAATTTTATTTCATTCTTTGATGAATGCTTATTTATAACAACAGAGACGTTCATTTTCATAACCTATTATTATATTGATTTCTGATTCAAATCCACATTTATTTAGAATAAGTTATTAATTAACACAATTAGTATTATATTAGTACAAGTTATGTAATTAATTAAGATTTGGGCGGAAATAGTGGTGGTATATTTAATTAATGGTATACTCTTTTCTAAAGATTTAAATAGTTTTTTTTAGCCGACCATACCAGTAGGTATGGTAGGCTATTAGGATCGGCAAAATTTTTTTTTTTAATTTCACTCAAAATGAGTTATTTGGGTCATAAATGACCTAAATACAAAATATTTTCATGGTGTCTGTCTGTCCGTCTGTATATCTGTCCGTCTGTCCGTCTGTAACACGATAACTCAAAAACCGCTGAACCGATTTTAACCAAATTTGGCACAAAAATACTGTGCACCCGAGAATCTGGCCATTAGTTTTTGGTGGGGGTGGGGGGTTGGTAAGGGGGTATGGGAGGGGGTTAAAAATTTTAAAAAATCGTAAATCCAAAATTACAGTTTAGCTAGCGAAACGCGGTTTTCAAATTAAGATTAGGAATAATATTTGCAACAGAATTTGTAATAACATCAAAATCAGTCAAAGTCGCAGTTTTCGATATATTAACATATTTTAGTATGGGCGGCTATACGTGCCTCCCGGCGCCAATTTTTTTGTATACAAATGGCCTAGTAATATTATCGTTTCTAACACCTGCACATTTTATATATTTGTTGCTTTAAAAACAATCTAAAATGTCAATATTCCATGGGTATATATTGATAAATGAAGTCTAAATTATAAGAAAATGCATTTTCTACGAAAACTTGAAGGGATAGGTAAATAATGGTATAATACAATTTGATAGACAATTAAATTGAGCATCTTATTCTTATAAAATATACAGGTTGTTCCATTTAAATTAAACAAGTTATTGCCGTTTAAAGGTAGTAATTATTTAAAATAAATTTTTAGACACTCTGTATAAGGTAGTATAATTTTTATTATTGCAACGTTACGGTTAAAGTCCGATGTCCGGTTAATGTCGACATTAACATGTTAAGGTTCGGGTTAGGTTATGTTTTTGGTGGTTTTGTTGTGTGTTATTCTCGAGATTAACCGGGTAATGTCGACATTAACCGGACATCGGACCTTAACCATAACAGCAACACAAAATTTAGTAAATAGAAATATTTCAGTACAATATTTAGTTTTAAAAGCATAAATACGCCTAGAGAAATGAAGCTAAAATTATTACCATATTTTGACAAAAACCTAAATATTTCAAAAACGGTAAGATTAAAATGCGGTAAACCTTAATCAAATTTACCTTTCTTTTACTTGTAGAATCTAAAAATGTAATAATATAAAGGGTGTTCCAATTTAAAAAAATTCAATTTTGATATATTTTTTTTTTATTTATGACCCTCTGTATCTTGTAAAAATATTTTTAAATTATAGCTCTAATAGTCCTTCAACGAACCCAAAACTTACAATTTGCAAAAATCTAATCGTTTAGCTACAATATTCCGTGTCGTATGTGGTGAACAACCCTGTATATATTTTTTAAGATATGCGATAATTGTTTTGGGTAGTTTATTTCTTTTATTTCTTTATTTTTTAGTTTATATCTGCCGCTATTATGTACCCATTCCAAGTCGTATCAAATTGTATGGCTGTAACAAACTCAGGCTTGATTGTTGGGTCTCCTGGATTTATGCCACATTATACTTCTTGGATAGACTGCTGGATGGACTTATCTAGGAGACACCAACTTAAGAGAGGATCTAGTCTGCTTGTACGTTATTATACAGGACCACATGTGATTGTTAGTGGTAAACTGGTGGCTGTTGATAAAGTACCTCAAGTTTTGTCGTAATTAAAGACACATTGTGATTTCTTAGTGCTTTTAGCTGTTTTATAAATAACATGAAATTGTTCCATGTAAATAAATAGATCCTCTTATATCTTTATGTTTTCTTTATATCTAATAAAGTATTTATATTTCATCATTGATATTGTTAGAATGGTCGCAATTAAAGAAAAGACCAGGAGCGTTATCAATAGTTGCCGGTGAAAGCCACCTCGGCGGTAAACAGTTCCTCGTGAAATAATTCGAAATATTTTATAGCATTTAAGAAGATAAAAATATCTAAGCTCGCGCTAATGGAGCACCGAATCATCCAATCACAAACAGGGGGCAGTAACTATGCAGCGGCGTCATTGATGAGCTTATTCTTTTTCTTTAGTTGCGACCATTCCACTACTTGGTTACTTATTATTTTTAAGCTTTAATAATATTATTGATTTGCTGTGTAACGTTACGTATTTTTTAATACATTAATTTAAATAATTTAGCTAGGTCTGCCAGTCTACACCAGATGTGGTCTGTTTCCATATTTTAACATGAAATTAGCGCTTTGATGTACGTAATCTCTTATTTTAATCAATTAATGTTTTTACTTGGTTTTCACCAGTGAAGTTTTAACTAATTCATACCAAAAATTAAAAAAAGAAATGAAATGCTGATTGATTACATGACGTCGTTTTTTTATCGGTACGCTTCGTCCTACGTGGGCGAGTCACGCGACGTTTTATCAAAAAACGTTTTCTTATGAACAATTAATAATTTCATATGAAAGATATGAATTAGCTCGGTTACTTATATCGATGCTTATGAAAGTGTACTGCATTGCCGACGCAGGACTATTTCATCAGAAAACGTTTGAAAAAACCACGTGTCGATCGCCCGTATCACACGCTTTGTCACCCACGTAGGACGAAGCGTTAGGATGTTTTATATATTCGCTCTATATTTCTTAAATATTTGGAAGACGATTTTTTTTTTAGTTATATCATGTTTATAATATAAACATATGGATAATTTATTTATTTTAATCACTGAATCTTGGATAACAGTCGTGGGGATGTTAGTTGATTTAGGAAGGTTTGGTATTGCTTTAATGGAAAGTTTCCATAGATTTAGTAAGAACAGATATCACATTGTGCATTTTAACCCGATCAAACAACCAGAGGTTGACTACGTACTGTAAAAACCAACTGAGATAAAGAAGGCGACATTGCCACATCTCAAATTTGCGCCTATCTACTTAGTTTGATTTGCAGAAAAGGTGACTTTAAAACCTTCACCGGATATCAATAAATCTCAATTAAATTAATAGTTTATCTTTAAAAAGCATGCTTAATAATATGTTATTAACCAGAGGATCTATGCGTTACTATTAAAGGACATGTTTACTGTTTAATGTGCTGAAACGTCTAGAACTATTGGCAACGTCGCTGCTAGTCTTCCAGAATGAAATGAGCCGTCCGTCCCACCACCCCTCGCGACGGCCTTTGGTCTGTTATAGCGTACTACGTTTAGCTTACGGTGTGTTTGAAGTCGGAATCAAGGCCGAAGTGAACTTTTCAGTGGTTTTCAGTAGTTTTTGTTTTTGTTTAACGTACTTTTGAATCTGCGAATTTTCAATATGGTAGGACAGTGTCAAATGTGTGGAAAAATAAGCTCAAATTACCCGAATTTGTCTTTTCACAGGTAGGTATTGTTTCCGCCGTAATCGTACATAGGCGTCCCACAAGGGAGCCTCTCAAAATTAAAATAATTTCTAATTATATTTGTTGAATTTTGATCTATTAAAACAAGAACGTAGTAGCCGGTAATTGAATTATAATTCGTCTGAATTACTACCTAACTGTTGTAGATCATAACAAATTTGAATATAAAGGTTGCATTTGAAACTTTAAATTGCGTCATATTTTGGTCATTATATACGATATTCTAAAGGAATTTTGCTCAACAAATAAACAAAGGTGTTTACCCGACCTTTTTTACATTTTATTGCTTAATTATATCTTGTATCTGCCCCTTCGGTTTTGTTTAGACAAGTTTTACAACACCGTACAATACAAATACCTCTTCCTAGAGTTATTTGTACGGTGTGTTTACCTTTTTTTAGAATGGGACGAACTATAAATAATTCTTAGGCTACTAGTTTTTTACATACCTATATACAGAGTGACCCAGGCCTCCAAAAAAGCTTTTTACCTATTACGTTTTTGGTTTGTGATTTTTATTTCAATCTTTACATAAGATCGGGGCCATTGTAACGCACATTTTCAAAATATTTTTGTCAACATACAGGGTGATTCAAACTCCAATACATATGCTTAATACAGTTCATGAAGATTGGGATGTTTAACTAAAATTTGATTGTCTGATTAAGTTACCTAAGTAATGGATTTGTAAATAAACGTAATATTCATTATTATGCGACAGAAATCCCATACTGTAGCACACAGATTTTATACTTTTAATGATAAATGCCCTCTATTGAGAGACTAAAAGGATTAAAATAAATATTGATTTTAGGTATAGGGAGTTATTAATAATACAGGATTAAACAATTATTACACAGTACTTCACAGGAAGCTATCGATTGCGAACTAACTAAATCGTTACTAATTACTAATTTTGAAAAGTTCTTTTTAAGATCAAAAAAGGTAAAACTAAAACCTAAACTATCGTTTGAGATTAAACGGGAAATTCTAAATAATGTTGCCTATTCTAAACAAGAAAAATTTATTTATAAGTTTTATAACATCTCTAATTAAATTTGGACGAAAAGAATATATCTGTTTGCTGTAGGTAATTTTCTCAGAGATTAAATGGGAAGTTCTAAGTTATCTTCTTCTCTCAGGGAAAATACGTAAATAAAAATGACTTTTTAAGTCAAAAAAAAGTCAAAAGGACAAGTTATTCCAAAAAAGGACTGTCCTTTTCAAAAAAAAGGTGGCAACCCTAGGTATTTCTGGAATGGGAATTTAATGGCAAATCTACAACTTTAGTTTGAAAATATGTTCCGGCCACCTATGATTACAATAATGTCTAAAACGTGCTTTACCATTGCCTCCATATTCTAAAAAAATTGAAAGAAAAGTCACTAACCACAAACCTAATATAGAACTGTTTCGGAAGTCTGAGTCACCCTGTAGGTATTCAAAAGTCACTGAGTGTTTATATAGAAGTAACTGAAAGTTTAAATTGAATATCGACGTTGGAGCGATTTTCGAAAACTACCTACTAACGTTTCAACATAAGTATATGTGGGATATTAATTATATTATTATATTAGACCTTATAACAAAACTCATCTAACGAAAAAGTGTTAATGTAGTATATTAGTGTGGAGTAAAAATTTTACTAATTACTTTACTTTTACTTTACTAATTAAATTCGTTCCAAAAAACGATACGCCACTGGCCATTATAACAATCCAAATGCGCCTAGTTGCCGGGGTCGGAAATTTTAGACTTCTCTCTCTCTTCTATCCTTGTTTGACACATTGGAATGTTTGATACACTACCAACGAGTATTTATGAATGAGATGTTCGGTCTATCTTTATAATGTCTTTGAAAGTTTCGAACAGTTGGCTACATTGCTGTGATCAGACGTTTCAAGGTCAACCACTTAAAACACAACAAATTGATTATTTAATTATTATTTATATTTTTTGGGTTTTTTTTCGGGATATTTTTTAGGTTTTTAGGGATATTTTGGAGATTTTTGATGCGAGCGTTTTAGATTTTTAGGGAGATAAATTTTTGAGAGTTGGGAACACTGTTTGATTTTGACATTCTGAGATTTTGACTTTGACGTGAGGTTAAAAAAGTGAGTGTATTTGGATTTGGTGTTGATGTTATTTTCAACAAGAATTTAAAATTATTTTAATCAATAAGGTAAGTAATAAATTTAACATTTATAAAATTATGGCATTGTTTTTTATAATACAGCGAATTAATAGGATATATATGGATATATTTTATGTTTTACGAACGTATCACACAGATGTGTTGATGTGTGGGTATAGGTATAAATTCTTTTTCATGTTTCTGCAAATAATTGCAACATTCTGTACCTATTAATATTTGTATTTAATTTTTACTTGATATTTCATATTTATATGTCTACAGATTCTGTTAGAGGTATACTTTATCACATTGCACTTGGCCTACAAATATGGCCTACATATTTTTATATTCTAAAAATTTTGATATTTGTGGCAAATTAAAACTTATGTTATATGTTAAAAATGCTGCTCATGATTTTAATTGATGATTATTGTATTCTTGAAGGAATGATTTGTCTTAAGATGTATATCTAGATGCACCTGTAGCTATGATATCAGAACTTCTGTTGGTTTCTAAAAGGGCATGATTTATAAATATATTAATTTGAAAAGCTTTCTAACCAATAAATGGGATGAATGAAGAAGATCTTCTCAAAAGGTAGTGTTAATATAAATGTATAATACCTAGAAAATATATTAGTATGATTTTGTTCGTTCTAGATCTGCTGAAGAGCGAGAGAAGATCTTTAAGCGTTATGAACAAGGTAGAGAATGCACTGAAATTGACCCATGGGAAGATCCTGGGTATGAAGTTTATCATGCTACAGACAGGTAAATAATACAATTTTTTATAAAACTGTAATATGATTGTTAAATAATCTTAGATATGGATTTATTCATGACAAACGTTTACCATCCAAAGTGGATCCACAAGAAGCCAAAAAGAAACAAATAGAAGTTGAACGTCAAAAAAAATGGTTGAAAATGTTAAGAAACTGGGATTCTGCAGTTGTTAAAGTATATATTTTATACATATATTTTTGTTATTCTTTATTAAACCTTTTATTCTCTTAGGAAAAACTACATTCTCGTGTATACAAGGGCATTCCAAATTCTTTACGTAGTGAAGCGTGGTGTAAGCTGTTGCAAGTAGATAAAGTAAAAAAGAAAAATCAAGGAAAGTATCAGGAAATGATGAAACTTGCTAGAAAATACTCTACAGATGCTCGACAAATAGATTCAGATGTAAACAGACAATTTAGGGAACATTGGCATTATAGAGAGAGGTAAATATTTTTTATCTGTAGTAAAGAGTAACTCAACATTCAAATATTTTAGATACAGCATTAAACAGCAAATGTTGTTTAATGTATTGACAGCTTATGCCATGTACAATTCAGAGGTTGGCTATTGTCAGGGTATGTCAGGTCTTGCTGGAGCTTTACTTATGTATATGGATGAGGAGGATGCATTTTGGGCTGTGCATATTTTACTCACGGATCCTAAATATGCTATGCATGGTTTATATAAAGAAGGTAAATATTTATCTATATTTTTTTTATGAAGTATAGAAATCATTAGTTTTTGAATATGAAAGAGGTAAGGAAGGAAAGGATATTTCAATAGAATAAATTCTGTTGTAATAGACTTATTATTTCATAAGTGTAATTACTTATGTTAATTAATATATATTAATAAGAGTTGAAAAAAGTTTGATAGTTAGTGTTAACTAGGTTACCACAAAATTATATTTTCAACGTGGTTTTCCTCAAAAATATTCCAATTGTTGGAACTTAGACTCGCCACAGAGTGGAAGCATCAAAAATTGTAGAACGCGCGCCTTTGCGCGACCGACACAAACTACTTAGTTTCATTTTTCACTGTAAGGTCTCACTGTTAGGGATGCGCAAAAATAACCGATTTTTCGGATAACCGGTAATTTTATTCCAAAAACCGGTTATTAACCATTAACCGGTTATTTTTTCCCTCCCAGTTAAATCTAATAACCATTCTTTTAGTTCATAACCCAAAATCGGTTATTTTATTTTTACTGGCCTCAAACACAGCTTGTTTTTATATGTAAATGTGTCTAAATGTAATCTATTAACGTAATAGAAGCATGTAAGTGCTATTACGTTAATAGATCAGCTAATATAACAGCTCTTCATTCCATCATTCAAACTAACTTGTGTATTTAATGTCCTTAGTTTAGAAGATAATCTGATCCACGTAAGAGAGTAACATTAAATATCCAAAAATGTTGAATTTGCACTCTTTTTCATTATTCTTTCTAAAAAATCATACTAAGTGATAATTTTTTCAGAAGATATTTTATTAACCGGTTATAAAGATAACCGGTTAATTGTATCAGGTTAACTGGTGTAGGTTAAATCTTAGACCAGAAATTATCCGGTTAACTGATAACCACTGTAGCTGCAGGAATAACAGGTAAAATAATGCCATTGCGAAAAAACAATAATATATTATATCGTCGGTGAAATGTGATAAACTGCTAACTCCATTATTCCCAATTTTAGAGGGGAGAAAAAAAACGATACCGTAAAATGGGGGGAATAGAAACATAGTGGTGAATAGAAACAAAATTTCTGAAAAAAATCAAATCACGATTAAAAATATTCAAAGTAAAAAGAGTCGACATATCTAGTTTTTCTATCATTGGTAATACACAATAAAATGTAAAAACTATATTTTTATCTGTGGCAGCACTGTTTCTGTCAATCACCTGATCAATAAATGTGAGATCGATTTATCACCTATTTTGTATGGCGCGAAAACTTTATAAATAAAATATTTATTTTTAAAGTAATACAAAAGCTGGCACATGTAAGTTGTTATATTATATGTATTGTTAATTATTGTTAAACCTACTTAAATATGTAATAATTTACTGTTTCTAATCACCTTGTTGGAAATAGAATAGATAAAAACCTTAACATCAATGTGTGTTTCTATTCTCCCGAATAGCAGGTGAATAGAAACACAAATGTTATTTTTATTTAATATTTATATGCATATTTTTCAAAAATCAAATTATATGTATACGCAAAGAACAATCAAAGACCCATATTTTAAAATATTCGGGAAAATAATACCACATTTTTATCAATTGGTATATCGCTAATAGCCTACGAAACTGTTTCTATTCACCCCATTTTACGGTACAAAAAGATATGAGCACATGTAGCAAGTATATTCATGCGTTAATATGATACAGAGATAACAATAATTTTTGCTGGGGAACAATAAAACTCAATATTTTGTTAAAAAGTTTACGTAAAAATTATGTATTAAACGTATTATTTCCTTAAAATCAAAAATGGAGTTAGCAGGTTATCACCTTTCACGGACGAAATACCGTATGATCGAATAAAAACGGCGTCAGCGATTGCTATGAAATGACAATCGATGACATTTCCCATACAAATTTACATATAAAATGACAGCGATCTTCATTTCATAGCCACCGCTGACGCCGTTTTTATTCGATCATACTTCGTACATATCATTCGTATTAGAGTTTAAAATAGTGCGCGGTCAGGTGACAGCGCATAAAAATCGTGTTGAACCAAAAGGATAAACTTATGCAAATTGATATTCCCATTTGATTTGTTTGGCTTCACTTTCCTCTCATTGTGTAAATGAGTATAAAAAGTGCTCTTGTTCTGATTTACCTCAAATTAAAATATCATCTATAAAAGTAACAACATGAAATTCTTTGAAAAATTCCGGGACTAGAAGATGCAAACGATTCATTTGAAATAAACCTTTATGAGTGTTTAATGTAGTTAACTTTTTACATGTTTGATGTAACTCAATTTGTGCACAAGCCCTATGCAAATCTATTTTAGTAAAATATTTACCACCATTTAAAACTGTAAACAATTGTTCAATTTTAGGTATAGGATATTTATCTGCATGATTATTTTGATTTAGTGTTATTTTATAATCACCACAAATTCGAACCTCACCTGTTTTTTCCAGTACTGGAACAATAGGTGTTGCCGAATCACTAAAATCGACAGGTATCACCGCTTTCAACTAGGCTTATTAATTCCCTTTCAACTTTTTCTTTTAAAGCTAAAGGTAAACTTCAAGCTTTACAAAAAACAGGAATAGAGTTTTCTTTTAAATACAATGTGGCTTTACTGAAACTAAATTTTCCTAACTTATTTTCAAAAACTTCAGGATATTTATTTTGTAAAATTTTAGAAACCTGTGTGGAATCAAAATTTTCAATATGATTAATATTTAATAATTTATCGACCGAGATACCGTAAAATGGGGTGAATAGAAACAGTTTCGTAGGCTATTAGCGATATACCGGTTGAAAAAAATGTATTAATTTCCCGAATATTTTAAAACATGGGTCTTTGTTTGTTCTTTGCGTATACATATAATTTGATTTTTGAAAAATATGCATATAAATATTAAATAAAAATAACATTTGTGTTTCTATTCACCTGCTATTCGGGAGAATAGAAACACACATTGATGTTAAATAAAGTTTTCGCGCCATACAAAATAGGTGATAAATCGATCTCACATTTATGGATCAGCTGATTGACAGAAACAGTGCTGCCACAGATAAAAATATAGTTTTACATTTTATTGTGTATTACCAATGATAGAAAAATTAGATATGTCGACTCTTTTTACTTTGAATATTTTTAATCGTGATTTGATTTTTTTCAGAAATTTTGTTTCTATTCACCACTATGTTTCTATTCACCCCATTTTACGGTATTTAAATCTTTAATCCAATTTCTACTTAATAAAGGTTAGTCATACTAGGGTACTTAGACATACGTTACGTTGTCTAAGTTACTAGGGCGGCAAACGTCGTTCTTGGGCTATTTACGTGTGTGGAAGTAAATCGGTACGCGATCGTATTAAGTCGGAGAGAGAAAAATGCGAAGGTGTGTGTACCATGTGCTATTGCGGCGTTGTCACATTTATCGAAGATACAGGTGCCCCTTTCCTTTCTCGGTGGTGTAAAATCACTGTAGAAATACGCAAATTTCTACGAATTTCTTTTTCGAGTGCCTGAGTAGACGTCAGACTTTATCTGCTGGTGTGTCGATCGGAACAAAGCTGCCATATCTCTTTCCTTCTTACGTTTGGCAACATTTTTACTCTTATATATGATAAAAAACGGTGTCCAGTTAACTTGGGAATTACGATCAATGATATTCCGGTGTGAATGAGCAGTGCGTGTCAATAGATTTTACACTCTTGCCATAGAACGTCGTCTATGCCCACGGCCATACAGAAAGCGAGTAAAGCGATTTTGCGTGTAAAGCGTTTAAACAGTCTTTTTATAAAACTAAACGTTCTCTAACGAATCTTTTTATATTAAAGCTTCATTCAGAACCTCAAAATTAGTGGTTTCAATTATACTTGATACTTAAAAGTTTACCATCATTCACAATGTCTAAAAAATACAATTAAAATTAATAGAATATCCTAGCAATTTGCAGTAATCAGTTGTAGGTAGTACCTGCAACTATGGTACTATGGTACTACCTCTAGAGTACTTTTGGTACCTCTATGGTAAACTTTTTATTTCTAATAACAATTTCTTTTGACGGATAATAATCAAATGCCAAAATGTCATTACTCGGAAATGTTGAAGTATAATTATTGGAAAAAGTTAAAAAGTTGTTAACTTTTTCAACTAATTAAAAATTACTACCACTAATTTTGACGTTCTGAATGCTTACATTGAAATTAGAGGGACAAACTTGTACGATATTTGAAACCACAAAACTGTGTTCCAATAATTTCGAGGTGTAGCAAAATGGCTTACAATTTTTTTTAAATTATTAAGTTTTTATTATTGTTAATTTCAAACAAAGAAAAATTAATTTTGTGTTTAAAAAAATATAAATAATTTAGTTAGAGGTGAATTTTCTGATTGTTTAACAAGCAAAATTTGTAGCAACTCCAAACAGTTTTACATCAGTGGCAGGCCTCTTATACACGCCGATCCTACCAATGACATACCTCCAACTTTGCCTTGATATATGGGCTCGAACACACTGACGACCAGGTGGCACCGGCCAGGCCGCTGCTACCTCTAAAACCATTAAATCAAACGATACAGCGCACACTAACGTCCTGGCCGTCCGTTGGTCGTTGCGACCAGTAGACTGCACTAAAATATTATTATTTTCTGCCGCTTGTTGCCGGTTTTGTCCCAAATTAATAATTTTTCAGATGAAATCCCTCAAATTCAACGCACAATATTTTATTTTGGTTATTAAGGGTCGATTCTAGTAAAAATTCAAAACATCTTGATATGACATACTCTATGGTTGGTATGATACCTGTTATTATACCTTCGAGTTTCGATGTTAAAAAATAAAAAAATCATATTTAAGGTTTTTCTACAACCACTTGTTTTTTTTTATGGAATTAGTTTTTTTAGTTGTATTGTAGTCATGTACAAGGAGGACAACTGTATTTTAAATATTATATTTAATTTAACGTTTTTCTAACAGGGTAACATTAGACTATATTTCTACAAGGTACCTACATTATTTTTAAAAAAAAATTAAGAAGTAAAAGTAACTTAAACATTCATAAAAATAGAAGTATTTACTGTTGTAGATTCTCAGTAACAATAAAAAAGAGGAATTTGTATTGTAAACATTGAAATAACTGGAAGCTAAATTTTCTACCTGCTTATATTTAGAGCCAGTGTCTGACGACCTTTTTTTACGATGGCCCTAATATGTTTACTTCTAAAGTCGATAAGAGCCATCAGTAGAAGTCCATATCAGTAGAAAAAAGAAATCAATATCTCCCTTTTTGTCGTTCGCGCGTACACAATGCTTTTTGTTCGGCCTATTTGTTCTGCTTGTTCGTGCGCGCTCGGTTCGTTCGGGCTTAGTAAGGGCTTAGAAGGCTCAAATCTGGACACACCTTTAGGAACAATACAGTATTTGTCCTTTATTGATATAATGCTGAAAATCTCATGAGTTACATATCTCACTCTACACATATTAAATTACATAGACGTAGGAAAGGGAAATTAAAACAACTTTGGTTGCACGTCATCAATGACACCATGCGTCGTCTTATGGAGTTTGCTGGTGGTCGTATTATGATGTGCAACCAAAGTTATTTTAATTTCCCTATAGATTATTCTGTTATGAAACGACTGATGGAATAGCAGGCATCGCGGATTTGAAAAATATGGAAATAACGACGTTATCGTGTAGTCGGGGTTGGAGATAGTGATGGGCAAAACTGTTATTTTTAGATAACAGTTGAAACTGTTATAGTTATTTATAAAAAACAGTTTAAAATAACAGCTTAAAAATAACAGGTTTCTTTATTTTACTGATTAGAACATTTAATAAGCTCATGAATAAAAACTTCGCTTTTTAGTTAACTCGGATATTTTAACATTTCTGAAACTTAATTCTTTCTGAAACAATATTTTCTAATTGATAAAAAGCAAAAAATCGTTAGATCTGACAACTCTGTTGAAACTGGTCGTTCATCTGGCCGCAGCTATAAACGCAATACATCCGGCCAGCCGACGTGACGCGACGGCCAGGTCGTTGCGACCTGGTCGTCACTGAGTTCGAGCCCTATATTCTTAAAAAAATTTGTGAACGCTATTTTTTTATTTTTAGGATTTCCGAAACTAACAAGATTTTTAGCCCATCACGATAAAATTTTAACAAAACTGTTATCGAAAATTAAGAAACACTTTGATAAGCATGGCTTAGATACTATTTTATATTCACTAAAATGGTTTTTTGTGTGCTTCATTGAAAGGGTAAGATTTAGAATTTGAATTTTTATTATATGCAAATGCATTTCATTATGATTAGTGTACTTTATTATGGATATTAATATATACATTTGAAAATTCTAGGTTCCCTTTAGTTTATGTTTAAGAATTTGGGATATATATCTCTTGGATGGAGAAAGAGTTATTACAGCAATGGCCTACACAATACTCAAAATGCATAAAAGGCAATTATTAAAACTAAATGATATGGATGCCATAGTACATTATATACAGGTAATTGAGACATACTATATTTTATATGTACAGTTCATACCAAATAAACTTTTAGTCACGTGATTAAGCTTGACCGGCAGAGTGATGCCCTCTTTTATATATTTTCTCTTAATCAAAATATTTTAGGAAACAAAAATAAATTAATTATATTATAAATATATAAACAGTTATTATTTAAATCAACAAAACTCGTCTTCTTAACAGCACATAAGGGACATAAAGGATAATTACTACCGCTTTCCCGTTCAAGATATTCTAATAAAGTTGTGATGACTTTTTTACGACTATTAAGCTATCTTGTACACTTCACAGTAAAAAGAACAATGTTCGACTGCAAAGTCTGCTAGTAAACATTTTTACTTAAGTATCAGAACGCTATTTATTTAAACCAAAAACTCGTAATACAAAACTAATGTGTCAAAACGAATGACGATCTCAGGAAATAAATAAGTAAATGCGGCAACTGGACATTTTTTACAGCAGAGCTACCACCTGAATCCCTAGCGCGAAATTCCAGTTAGTTAGCACGGCCCCCGAATATGTCAATAGGTGGCAACAATGATTTTGAAAATCGCGCCCTCGATTACGTAACTAAGAGTTTAATTGATATCAAATATATATACTTTATTACCATCGTTTGTTAGGTAAAACTTCATAAGGACTTTTTGTATGATGATGATACTGTGATAAGGCACTTGGAGCAGTCAATGGAAGAATTGAAAAAGCATAAATTGGATCATCCAGGGCCCCCAAATAGTGATGAATTACCTTCACGCCCTTTCGGTATTTTTAAAGAGCCAACATTCGAAGAGATAGTTGGAATTAGAAAAGAAAAATTTAGTGAAAAAGAAAAGGTAAGCTAGTAATGGGAACTTTCGCATAAAACTATGGAAACATACAATAGTTGCAATTTATTCCAATTATTCAATAGCTTGTGATAAAACATTCGCGGAAAACTATGGAATAAAAATTATTGAATTCGTAATTCTGCAGTCAAAACTATTCGTTTATTAAATTTATTTATTCATCAGAATAAAATAGACTGGGTTGAAATATGCGCTGTTGTTTAGGGCCATTTCGCACCAACACAGCCCAGTCTAGTCCAGTCAAATCACTACAGTCCACTGCTTTCACACCAAACGCGTCCGACGTTTGTTGATGACATTTTTTTAACTGCAGCAAAAATAAGCAGTAACAACAGAACGCTTTGAAAATGGACGAGATTTTTAGAGTAATAATTTTACGTCGATTAGAAAAAAGAAGAAGGCGAAGGAGAAATTTATTTATTTTTTTTTATTCTCGGTTTCTATGTTTTGAATGCTTGGGGTTATATTTCGCCTCTTCACACACACACATTTCTTACCAAAACAATTAACTTTCCACATCCATTTGTGTACAAATATCGCAAATGACTGGCATAAAAATTCGACCGAACGAATCACTATCAGTCTTGACTTGTCTGGACGCGACTGGACTGTACACGACGTGTTTTGTTTGAAACCAACTTTCGTTCCGGCATTTGTTTTTCTCATGACTGTCCTAGATTGGATTCAGCAACGTCCGACGTGACTGATCGTGGCTGGGTTGGACTATGTTGGTGCGAAATGGCCCTTAGTTGTCGCCCAGCCTTCGATGTAACTTGGCAAAATAATTCGGCCTTCTTAGAAAACTGAGGGCGGCAATAGTTTGAAGAAAGCCGCTCCTCGTTTTTTGCGGTGTCTTTTTTTATTGAGGTGTCAGTACTTATGAGGTGAAAATTACATTTTAGAAGGGCGCTGTTGTATATTATCGATAGGTTTGTTTATATATTTTTGAATTTAGTATTTAATATTGAGACGAAGTCGAGAGCTGCAATCGTACTGAGTGCAACAAATATGCTTTTTGCACGTGTTGCATACAACATTTTTCTAGGATCGAATTGACATTCTTATTTAAATGTTTATTAAAATCATTTTTACAGTAATTCACAGTATAATAGTACCACTAATAATAACACTATAAACAAAAATATTATTTTTATTTTTTTTAATAACTTTTTTTAGTTGATTTTAATTTTAATATCGCAGTTTGTTGTATGGACAAACTTTTCCAGTAGTTTTTTGAATTTTATTCTCATTTCTGCTCGTGGAGAGACCTCGGGTTCTTTTCTTAACTTAAAACTCTTTTCTGAAATTTTGCTGCGAGGTGTCCAGTACTGGTACTTGGGTTACCTTCCAGGATTTGACAAGCTTTTTACAAAAATTTACAATTCTTTTCTCGTTAGTTAAACTGGTCATTAATAATGGCAAGGTGTATTTTTTGTCCCAGTGTAAAAAATTTCATTTTTAATAGCTACTTTTTGCACGATCGTAGAAAAAATATATTTCTGTCGTCGGACAGACTATATTTCGAAAATATCTTTGAGTAAAAAGATTAAGGAAGGACTATAATGCTATCCATGTATTCATGCATGGTCGACGGAAAGAGGACTCTAGGGTGGGGATCCTTGACAGTTCTGTTTGACGATTCATTTGCCACATTTGAATTTGATTTGAAATTTTGTGGATTTGTCGTCAGTCTTTACTGAGCTTATTTTATGTTATTTATTATTTATTCTACAATTGATAGTTGTTTAAAGGTAGTATATCTAGAAGGAAATTGTGGCAGAATTTAAATTAACAATGACACTATTGCGATTTATCGAAAAATACTGTAAAATAGTTGGTTGTGTAGCGTGCGGTAGATCTCAGTCAAAAATCGAGGGAAATAATGGAATAACTTTTCGCTAGTAAGTGACTATATAATATACATACGTGTAGTAAACTGATCATTTATGAAATTCACTTAAAATTAACTAATTATATATGTTTTTCATGTATTTTTGCTTTTATTTACTACTTGTCAAAGATTAGATGTCAAAGAATTTACATACGTCAATTTGACTTACCTGCTTCAGTAGCGTATCGAATGTTTGTGTTAATTTATTATTAGTTATTGTTAACTTATCTATTTTTATTAGAATTATATATTTTTCTAAAAATTTTAATAACTACCAACATTTATTCACAACGTAAAATAAAACAACAGATTATTGAGTCGTAGGGTAGACTCAATAGGAAAGCAGGAAGAGGGACTATTTCTTACTTTCAAGCTTCAAGAAACTTCAAGCATTTATTATTAAATTTATCAAAATAACTTATGTACAAATAAAAAAAAGTATAATATTGCACGGGAATCAATAAACCAAAATATTTTATTAATAATAATTTACACTTACTGGATTTTATACCTTAAAAGTTACTTAATTAACTCTAATATTATTTTTTAAGTACCTTTGACTTATGTCTCTACAGTACTAAAATCTATTATTATTTATCTGTTGTATGATGTCTTTATTTTATAGTTGCTCTTGGTTTTAGTACCATATACGAGATGATATGTCGCTAACACAACTCTCTGGGCACCGTATATTAGGTATAAACTGTGCTCTGGGTCTACACTTAATTTTCCTTTAATTTTTTCTCCATTTAACTTTAAAAAACATAACACACGTAATAACACACACCAAAATGCAAAAGCAATACGCAAATATTATAATTTGGCAAGAATTTGACAAGTCTCAAAAATCTTAAGTCGAGTTCATACGCATTACGCATAAAAAAACAAGACATGACGCATGATGGATTTATATATAACCTCAATCATAGTTAAAAAATATTAGAAACTTTTTTTAGTGAAATAAATGCATTGGTACGGACATCACTTCCCTTTTTTTGTGTGATCGTCTATCGAAATTTTTCCTGAGTCGTAAAATAGAGTATACACGCTTTTATACGTCCCAAGTATTATTCATTATTAAGCATTTATCTGACTTCGAACTAAATCTGACCTGAAGCGACGTCAGACTTTGTGCAAATTTAGGTCGGGTGCTGGTGATACGACCGGTGACGTCGCTTTCCTATTATTAGGCGCTTTCCTATTATATTAAGCGACGTCGTTGGATCCAAGTCGGTAAATCCAACGATCTGTCGACGTACAAAATAACAACGTACCATTTTTATTAATTTCCCAACGTCGTTCCCACGTTGGCTTGCACGACGTACATATACTTGAACTAGCCCGACGTCTACCCGTTGTCCGAATAGGATACGTCTCTCTGATAATCCCTAAAGTAACGTCCAATTATATTTTGTTGTATTTTATGTTCATATTTATAACCTAATTTACGTATCTCTATTTACGTCCGTAAATACAACCCATTAAGTAGCATTTGCGACCTAATGAACATCATGAGCATAACCTAATAAAAAGTTTTTGTAAACAAACTTATGCCTAAAAAAACACTAAAAAGGCATTTAGACATTCATCTATATTTTACAGAAAGAGGTCGAGGCTTTTGCAAAATAATAATAGTAGTAGTGATGTCTTGCCTCCACCCATAAATGATTTTTATCCGGAAGAGATGCTGCATTACACTGGTGCATCTTAATTTCATTTTTTAGCTTAGGAAACCAGTAGACCCCATCCTCCTCCCACATGTGAGGTTAGGCTTAAAAAAGTGGCTGCCCATTTTTTTAAGGAGAAAACAAAAACTAAAAGATAGTTGCACAAATCCACAAATCACTGATACGCAAAGTGAGGTTACGTGGCGTACGTTGGAATTATATACGTCATAATACGATTGCCGGTCGTCCGGTTTGATGACTTCGGTCGTGTGAGACGACTAATGTTGGAGACCCGGTCGGAATTGGTATATTGGTAGTTCATATTATGTCGGACACAGAAATCCGCCATTCTTAACACGTATCCGATTGTCAGCCATTTTAAAATCGTTTTTTGTTTTTAAAATTTATATTCACATTTCGATTTCTAGTAGAATAATATTGATAAGGTTGAGTTTGGGGGGAACCACAGTACAGTTTTATGATTAAACCAGCTAGAATATTAAAAAAATATTTTGCGAGTAACTTTTTTATAGATATTTTTATTTCATAAATCTACCTAATTTTGAAGGCGCTCGTTGGTTTCCGGAGTATTTTAATCAGATATATCAAAAAAGTGACTTCCGTTGACAAAACTGATGTCTGGATTAATGATTCAGAATTATTATAATATGAAATTAGATAGGCACTTATAGTTATATTCGAGAAGTGATTATGAATCCATTTGTAATTAGGTAGTTTGGTTAGATTTTTATGTATTCTTGGTAGCGAATATGAAACCAAACGTAACGTAAGTGCTTAGCGACGAATTATAAGTGACTAAAATCCAACGTAATATAACGTTGGTAATTGGTAGAATTACATTCCCTATTAGGTCAAATACCGCCGTCGAGGCGACCCGAATCTGTATTCCCCATTTAGGTGCAAATAAGGGTCGTCAGGCGGTCGAACCGACGTTGGTATCCGACGTCGGGTTTATTGAACGCGACGTATACCCGACGTTAGATAACGTCCAAATGCTACTTGGGGTAGTCTTTTAGGACGTTGCTTACGATTGCGTTTTGGTTACATGATTAATTGTAAATATTTTCTTTTAAGCGAACGCAGGAGATAGTTACAATAACCAGTGACACAGCTAGAGAACAAGCCGAAAAGGAGGATAAAGAGAGCCATCTCTCAGTTGCCGATTCCGTGGGATTCACAGGTACGGACACTGAAAATAATTCAACTATCGGTAGTTGCACCACTTTGGCTAGTAAAAGCAGTTTGACGGATAGCATTGCTAGTAGTATTGAGGAATGTACTAGGTTATAAAATGTCCATTATGCTTTTTAAATCAGCATAAAAATGTTTTGCAGAGAACTACTTTTTCCGCGCTTTTAGATTTCGATACAACTCATTTTCATATTTTTCTCTTTTTACACTTCTAATAAACAACATAATAATTAGTAAGTAATTTGCTAGTTATTAAAGAAATGTCGATATCTCTAGTCATGCTTGATGAATATTTTAAAGAGGAATACTTATTTAATAATTTTTTGATATTAGTTTTTATTTATATTTAAAATTAAATCAGAAGAAGTTTATGGCTAGGTAATAAATATTTAAAAGTGCATGCATTGCCATGTTAATGTCACTCTAAAAATTATAGTTTTATACATATGCAAAAAAATATTCCATTTAAGCGTTACAGCTTCTTAATTGATAGACTGTTCATAATGCTACACTAATTTTCAGCTTTATTCAAAAGCTATATTACAAAAAACGATTGGGCTAGAAGCCACTAGCTACCAGACATACTTGAAATTTAGATCGAGATTGGGAATTATAGAAGTACTGTACTGTTTTATGGGCGCACTTGTTTTATGAGAATAAAAAAAATATTTCTTGAGAATCTTCAGAATAAATCTAAAAAAATGCTGCTATTCCCTTGTATATGTATGAAACTCGAAATATAAACGAAAAATAATATTCTGAACCACTTTTTCTTTTGACTTTTGTGTTTTGTCTCCTAACCCTCTTTTTTTACTCATGGAAAGAGGATTTTTCGTAATTTGCCACAACGTCAGTTGTCGCAGGGCAAAAAATTGTGCTCTCACTCAATTCTACTTTTTATATATAGTATTATCAAAATTCTATTTTTCTATATCTTATCATTTAGCTTATTAAGCCGCGTACAGACTTGCGAGCGAATGTGTTGAGCACGCATGTTTATGTGTGCGCTCTCAAGTCATGTGTGCTCACGTCATGGGAAGGAAAGCACTGTCAAACGCATGCGTGCGATATTAGGTCATTCCTATATTTTATCCTTCTAAGTTCTTATCCTAAGTTCTATCTTTATCTGTCTAAGAACTACTTGTACATGGGTGATAATCAAGTCGAGGGGTATTAATATAATAATAGAAATAATGTCCAAAGATATGACTGTAGCAGCTTGGACCTTATAATAATTTATAAAACAATGAAACAAAAACAATGAAAAAAAAAGAAGCGAAGATGGTAGCTGAGACATATATGCAGAACCATAGAGGCATACTGCGCAGAGACTCGGATTTTCTAAACCATATGCATCTAACATTTTAGCATATTTTTTGCTATTTGATCCCAAACATCTTTTTTAGTTTCTGAAAAATGAAATGATTTATGTTTCGGATCATACAATATTGAAAAATATTGGTCAGCTTAGTAATGCCCAAACAATCTTCATTTGACCACTCCACATTAAATTCTTATATCCGATTTTTTAAATAATATATACGTGTGTTTCTTTGATTTCGTGTGTTTCTTTGATTTCTAGAAAAAAAACGACTCTATATACCGCGGTTCACATCGTGCGGGCCTGGCGTATCGTAATCACGTATGCGTTGAGAAAGAGTGAATGAAATATCCACACTATAAAAAGCATGCTTATTTATCGACTCAGCACATGCGTCCTCAGGTGTATACGCGGCTTTACACTTTATATCGCGAAAAGACTGATTATTTGAATGTTCTCAAATATCTTTGAACTACCAACAAGTTCTTGTCTAAGCATTGATTTAAGATAGATATCTTAAGCAACCTAAATATTACAAATAAGCATTATATCATCATTGCCAAAATACTATAGCTGTGTTATCCATTTTTCCTTATATTGAATATCAATTTTTTACCTTATTAAAATATTTATTTGTTTATTGTAGATCATTTGATCATATTTATAAATGTATTTTAGATTAGTGCCGCCGAAAGTAATTATGCCTGCGCATTGCTATTTTTGCATTTAAGTTTTTCTTATGCTTAAAAAAGTATCATCGATATATAAGTTGATGCATTATTTACCATAAAAAAAGAAAGTTTTTTTAATTCCTTTGTCTTTTCGAATATTATTATTAAGTTGCTCAAAATCTTCTATACGTTCCTAATCAGTATTTTTTGTTAGTTCTATTAGGTATCATTTTTATTTTTGTATAATTTAATTTTTAATACTGTAAGATAGTACTTATTTGAAATAACAACAAAACTGTCCAGTTTACTGCTGTAGGCTGTATAGTTTATAATTTGTAAATAAATGTCCTAAAAATAATGGTATGTTTCTAATACAATTAGGTTTAATGAAAATGTAATATATTTTTTTATTTTTTATTTGGTATGTATTTTTCTTGCAATATATTTATATGAAACAAATACGTCATAATTGGTTTTGGTGTTTTCTAACATGTCTTTCCAACTACCATTAATAATCTGGGAATCATAAATTGTAAATATACATATACATATGAATTTCAACTAATATTTTATGCATGTTCTCGTATCTTCTATATTGGCAGAATTTTAATCATTTCCAGTTAATGATAACAATCAATTTAATAATTTCTAATTAATGATAATATAACAATCTAAATTCAATTAGGGTTCCATACCTCTAAAGGAAAAAACGGAACCCTTATAGGATCATTTTGTCGTGTGCCCGTCCGTCTGTCTGTCAAGACCCTTTATCTCGGGAACGCGTGGAGTATATTTTTTCACCCAGTAGTTTTATATATATATATAAGTACGGACAAAAAAAGTTATTACTTTTCAAAACAGTTAAAACACATGTAGGTGACGCCCCTTACAAATAGGAGTCATATTGGCATCAAAATCAAATTTCTCATGCCAAAAAACTCCCAGACACCAATTTTCATCCAAATATTGACGTTACTTCAGAAATTATTTGGAAAAAATCGAAATGAAAATGAAAATTCTACACCCTGTATCTCCAAAACTAAGCATTTTAGGACATACATTTATACGAACTTTTTTACTTATTTTTATTCGTAGAATATGATGCCGAAGTTTCTGGAATACAGTTCGGACCACCCTGTATATCGAGAAATTATGGTTACGCTCGTTGAATTTGACACTTTTTGTCAGTTTAATAATATATTTTCGTACTTTTATGCTTAGGCCAGGCGTAAAAGTGCTGCAGTGGGATTCTGTAAGCTCCATAGCAAAAAAAAATCTTGTCTAGCCTAAGCTATTTGTATACGATTGGTAAGTCACTACAAAGAAAATATGTTTACAGAATCGCACTGCTGTACTCGTCGTTGGGAAATCCTGCTTTCCCATTTGAAAACCAGTGCTAAAGTTAAAACGGGATGATGTTATAAGGTGGTCTGCACGCCATGACGCTTTGTTGAGTTAAACTAAAAGCTGGAACGAATATTTATTATATATACAGGGTGTTTCAAAACAAATGCGAAAAACTTTAGGGGGTGATTCCTTGTTCAAAATAAAGGATAGTTTGCTTTATAAACGTTGGGTCAAAAGTCAACCATTAGGGAGATATCGCGGTACAAAGATGGCGGAAAAATAATGTTTTTATTTTTATTTTGAAAACGAAAAGAGATAGACTAATGAAATTTTATGGAAGCATTACTGTTATGAAAACACACTTTCAGGTAATTTTTTACTTTTTTAAAATGAGTGGAAGGGGTTGAAATAAACTACCCCTATCATTCTTGTTAACGAAATTTAAAGAAAAATCTTATCAAACACATGCAAAAAAAATAATTTGGATAGTTTAGTTTGTTTAGAAACTTTTTTACCTCTTGTGTTTTTTTGATAAAACTCACCGATTGGAAATTAAAAAATAAAATGTAAAGCATTACATGTCAGGACATCTAGATAATAACGTATTGCAGTAGAGTAATGTCAAATAAAATAATATTAGGAACATCCTAAAAAGTAACAGCGGCCGACTAGATTTTTTCCTAAAAAAATTACAGCAGCCCACTAGATTCTTTATCAGAAAATTTTTTTTGTCCTGACATGTAATGCTTTACATTTTATTTTTTAATTTCAAATCGGTGAGTTTTATCAAAAAAATACCAGAGATAAAAAAGTTTCTAAACAAACTAAACTATCCAAATTAATTTTTTTGCATGTGATTGATAAGATGTTTCTTTAAATTTTGTTAACAAGAATGATAGGGGTAGTTTATTTCAACCCCTTCCGCTCATTTTAAAAGTAAAAAATTACCAGAAAGTGTGTTTTCATAACAGTAATGCTTCCATAAAATTTTATTAGTCTATCTCTTTTCGTTTTCAAGATAAAAAATAAAAACATTATTTTTCCGCCATCTTTGTACCGCAATATCTCCCTAATGGTTGACTTTTAACCCAACGTTTATGAAGCAAACTACCCTTTATTTTGAACAAGGAATCACCCCCTGAAGTTTTTCGCATTTGTTTTGAAACACCCTGTATAAATTGTTTTTAAACGGTGAATTTAAATGCCCTCTTTTAGAGTCTATTTGTTTACATCATAAATTTGTATTTTCTTCCTAGATTTAATTATGTCGGGTCATATGTTTTTTTTTGGGTTGGTACAAAGTTATAAAAAATTCTGTCAGTAGCGCTTTTTTACTTTAATCTATGATTCTCAGATTTCTTAAACATTCATTCAATGAAAATCTGACTTAGTATCATCTCTTTTAAAAGGTTATTTATATTTAAGCATTACTGGTGCAGGTTCAGGGTCAGTGCATACTTTTGCAAACCAAAACTTTAAAGGCTACGATAAATTGAATATTCTTTCTTTTTAATAATATTTTTTTATTGTATATCCGTTTTAGAAATGTTTTGAACCTATCCGTTTTTTTCTCTCTTAAAATATACAGTTATGCCAGAAGTAAGCATTTGAGAAAATTTACCGGAATTTTATTTTAGGTAGGTTTTAGCA